CCATCCATCCATCCATCCATCCAGCCAGCCAGCCAGCCAGCCAGCCAGCCAGCCAGCCAGCCAGCCAGCCAGCCAGCCAGCCAGCCAGACAGCCAGCCAGACAGCCAGCCAGCCAGCCAACCAGCCAGCCAGCCATTAATGCATGTGATCAAAGAAAAAGTAATTGCATAAGACAATTGTAACAAAAACATGTTTTTATATTACCTTCAGTTAATGTAGTGCTCCTTCATTAATGCAGTCTGAATAGAGGTTATTTATTTATTTATTTATTTATTTATTTATTTATTTATTTATTGTAAATCCATTCAGTTTGAGACAAGCAGAGAAGTTTAGATACAAAAAAAATCATCCAACAAACTGTCACATCAGCCCATGTAAAGAGTTTTAAACTGAGCAAGTGTTTTAAAAATATAGAAATAAGAACTTCATCTGTGAGCAGAAAAACTGATCGATCAGGTCATAACGCCTCCAACATTTTGACCTTTGACCCTTCACAAACCTTCATGAAGGCCAGGAGAATGTCCCCGTTGACTCTCAGTTCTGCTGCGTTTCTGCAGCTCCTCAGTTGTTTTTCTGACTGTTTCATTCTCATTTCAGCTGTTTTACACTGAATAAAATCAGATTATTATTCAATACAAAACCCTCAGAAGACAAAATGTTAAAACTGGTTGTTTTATATTGAGAGGAACTCAAGAAAGGCGCATTTTTCTTTGTGTCCTAGCGTCATCTAGTGGTCAAATGTTGAATCTGAAAGAAATTCATCACTGCTAGTTAAACACAAGTTTCAGGACCACTAAAACAAGTTTTCAGCTTGTGAATAAGATAAAATCACAAGAACACAAAACCAACAATTTAAAAAGATTTAGGTTTTACTTAAAACCAGAACAAAATCCTAAAACCACTTTCGTGACTTTATGCAGAAGCAGGAACAGAAGCTCATTTAATAGTTTTGTCAAGAAGAAAATGAAACTTTTGTCACAGTTGTTACTTTTTCCTCGTGAAAAAAATCACTCTGCATGAGATAATGAAAATAAACTGAACTGCTAGTTTATTAAAGGAAATGTTACTTGTTTATCACTAAAGTATAAAGTTAGTAAAACTTGTTACTTCTATGTTTAGTTGCCACTAATTTTCCCCATTTATATAATAAACCTCACTTGCACAAGTATATGCAACTTTCCAGATTGATAAAAATCTAATGTATATAATGTTTTAAAGTGCATTTGTTAAATTTGATGGACAGCGGTCCATCTAGTTCTTTAGGTTATTTGTAATGTTTTAGACATTGCAATAAAAAATACTTTCAAGAGACTAAACATCAGAGAGACCTCAACTTTTATTTTGTTGGCATGCTCCTGCTCACCGGTTACTATAAACACATTTTTAATTTTCCCACATTTTGCTCTTCTTTATGGTTTTAAAAGCAGGCGACACAGTGGAGCAGTGGTTAGAGCTGTCGCCTCTGAGGTCGGCATCTCCCACGTCTCATCAGAAAGAAGAAACTGTTTAAAATAAATGGATGGAAAAAGACCAGAGACAAATATAGTTTATAAAAGTGCAGATTTGCTTTATTAGTGAATATTCATTATGAAGATCTATGACACGTGCTTCAATTAAACCTAACAAGAAGACTCTTATAACAAAATGTTTATAAAGTAACATTGCTTCCATGTCAAAGACATTAATATTAATAATACTGTACGACGGACACAGAATTCATTCAGCCATTTAGTTACAAACCTTCATCTGACTTAATTTAAACTGCAGCAGCTTCAAACTAAACACTAAACTTTTTAAAATAAATAAATAAAATCCCACCAAAAAGCATTGTGCACAGGTTTGATATCTGGGTACAAAGCTGAGCGTAAAACGCCTGGTGGTTTTAGAGAGGATTTTTCCATCACAGAAAATCTCGTCCTTCATTTAATCCACGAGGAGGAGACGTGTCCTCATGTTCAACTGTCCCTCTGATAAAGAGCTGGAAACCACTTTGTGAAACAAATGGATTAATTTCCCCCAAATTATTGACATGAGCGAATAAACTCATGAAATGTGCTAAAAATTTCCTTCATTTAACCATAAAAACAAAAACAGGTTGATTTCCATCCAAACCGACACAAAGATAAGTTTGAGCTTATGAGATGCAAAGGAAGAATTAGACCCACGACTGAAAAAGTATTAAAAAATATAAAATAAGTGGCATTTTTGTAACCTGGACCGTTGATCCTCAAACATCTTTATTACCAACTGTTACAGAATGCACTGCAGCATGATCAATAGAGGTGGTTCCCAACAGTGGCCCTTGAGGAACACCATCCTGCATGTTTCGTTTCCCTGCTTTGACACACCTGATTGGAATGAAGAGTGTTAAACCAACTTCTGCAGAACTTACATTACTGAATCAGGAGCAGGGAAAAAAAAACTGAAACATGCAGGATGGTATTCCTCAAGGACCAGTGTTGGGAACCATGGATTTAAAGAAGTGAATAGGCTTTAATCAACTTTATTCCTTCAGATGTGAAAACTCAGGTGCCAGGGGTTATTTCAGCATCAGCCATTTGAAAACTTTTTTTTCTTCCAGAACTAGCTTTAGGACTGAAGTCATCGCATCCTTTAATTAAACAGTTTTAAGTGTTTTTTATTGGGCTGGTTTTGTTAATTAAAAGGGGGGAAAAGGCTTAGGCTTTTAAAATACCAGAGTAGACAAACAAACACATTTTTACTTAGAATACTGAAGTGCATTTAAATAATTTAAGCTTATAAAACTAAATGTTTTTGTTAAAAAAAATATATGAGACAAGAATATATGTATTTAAATAAATGACCCGTCGGACATTTCTGTATCAAGATGGTACGATGGGGTCCGAGCATCAGTTCTTGGTCATCAGAAAGTCGGGATCTCTCGTTCTGCAGCTCAACGTGTGACCAACGTTAGCAGTAAACGGTGCCTTCAGGCGCCTGCCGGGACCCACGTCTCGTTATAAACCCAGAGGAGAACGAGCGCAGGAACTTTCTGGTTCTGGCTTCAGTTCTTCCGGGGGGTTTCTCCTCAGTCACCTCCTCCGGACAAACGCAGATCGGTTCTGGTTTCCAGTCAAAATGAGAACTCCTCCACGTTTTTTTTTTTTTCTTATTTTCAGTCGAAGTCTGGGAGAGTCTACGACGGCTCTGCTGCACGACGACACTCTTGTGACGATGAGCAGAACCACCGAGGCGTGGTTCTAGTTTGTCCCGGTTCCTTCAGCAGCACAGCAGAAGCTTTTTTTAGTTTTTAAATCAATTGTTTTGGTGGGTTCTGTGCTGAGATCCAGGGCTGGAAAACGGGCCGCACGGTTTGCCCCGGCTCCTCCAGCGCCGCCGCAGGACGAAGTCGTAGTTGGCGGAGGTGCACATGGCGTAAAACACGTTGCCGTTGTCGGGAATCTGGAGCTCTGAGGAGGAGAAAGAAATTAAATTATAAAGTGATGCCAAAATATTGAACAATACTTCAATCAGCAACAACCAGAACAAACATCTACATCAACTCAGTTAGTTCTGCGGTTTGAAGAAGTTTTATGCGCCGACCTTTTCTGTGGTTGAGCATCTGAAAGAGGCCGAAGTCGCTGCACCTCAAGTCTTCCATGTTGTGCTTCTCAAGAGCTCTCTGGACCACGTGAGGCGTGTGGTCCTGGCTGGTGAGCTGGAAGAGAAACGGACTCGTCAAAAAACAAGCGAGGAGAACGTTTTAAAGCCGCATTTCATCGAAACACTGAAATTTAAATCAAACGTTGCCGATTTGTTTTCATCACATTTGACTCGTCTGTGAGACGTTGACGAAGCGTTCACTCTACTGTGGTCCAGTTTTCTTCTGAACGTTCTTCAGCATCGTTCTCGTTCCACAATTTTTGAGCCATTTCAAATAAATCATAAATCAAAACGTTCAGCTCTTTCAGGAGAAAAGTGCTGTGACTTTTGGTGTTGGTGCAACTTTAGCTTTTTGAAATATTTAGTCTTTTCTGCCACTTTTTCCTCATAGAAAATGAATTGAGCTCATTTTACATCCTTCAAATCTTTAGCTGTGTTCACAACCTTTTACTGCTCATTTCACATTTTGTTCAGCTTCAGATTCTTTCAGCTTCCTGGTGCAAATTTAAACATTTTTTCAGCTACTTTCAGCTGTTTCTTAATGCTAACTATAATATTTTTTCTGCTTCTAACTTCTTTCTGCCAATTTCAGCTTGTTTTGCTCAGTTCAGCTCATTTCTGCAAGTTTCAGCTTATTCTGTCATTTCAGCTACAATTTAGCTGAATTTATGCCAATTTGAGCTTTTTTACAGTTAATTACATGGGGGTTTTTTGCACTCATTTCAACTTTCAGCTTAATTGTGCAAAATTGTACTCTCTAATTTAAGCTTTTTTCAGCCTTTCCAGCTACCTTTCAGCTGGTTTTTTTTGTTGCTAATTCCTTTTTTTTTTCAGATAATTTCAAATTTTTTGTGCTAATTTCTGTTTCTTTCAGCCTAATAGGACAAACGTGTTCTTTCTGCTTTCTTGTGCTAGTTGAAGCTTGTTCTACCTTTTCAGCATTTTTTTTTGTTGCCAAATTTCAGCTGTTTTCTGATAAATTCAAGTTTTTCATGGTAATTTTTGCTATTTTCAACCCATTTAACTTCTTTGTTTTAACTTAAGCTTATTGTTATCATTTCAGCTTTTTTCAGCTGGTTTCAACTTTATCTTATATTTTAGCTAGGATTTAGCTGTTTTTATGCTAATTTTAGCTTTTTCAGGTAATTCCACCTTATTCAAGCTCCTTTCAGCTCTTTCCTTCTGTTAGTTTAAGCTTCTTTCTGCCGTTTCATCTGATTTTCAGCTATTTACTTTTTTTTGCTAATTTCAGCTTAGTTTCTAACCAATTTCCTAACTTTTTGCTATTTTAAACCTAATTCAGCAAATACGTGTTTTTTCTGCTTTCTTCTGCTAATTAAAAGAAGCAACAGTTGTGGTAGATGAATACACATAATGTTTACCAAAAAAAACTGATTTCAGTTCCTACATGAAAATAAAATCATATAATTTTTACACACTACTTGAAATAATTATAAAGATGTTTCCTTTTGATAAAAAAAAAAAAAAGATGTCTCTTTCCAGCAGCCTTTGCAGACGTCCGGCGCTCTGGGAAACGTACCAGTATGCTCTTGTAGATGTTCCCGTTGTCGACACACTCCACACTGACCCGGATGATACACGAGTCCGCCACCTGCTTGTTGTAGACTGGCTGCGCAGCCGGAGGAGAGCAGCCGGACTGCGACGACGATGACTCTGGGCTCAGAGCCAGAGACGAAGAGCGGAGATCGGGGTGCGAGGAGCTGCACGACGACCTGGAGAGTCTTGGGGACGAAGAGGCGGAGGAGGAGATGGAGGAGTCCTCCGCGACGTTGTGGAGAGAGCCTGGGAGGGACTGAGGGGACAGGAGGAGGGGCTTGGTCAAGGGTCGGGACACGTTCCGAGCGGGAACCTGGAAAAGTGCTGGAGCTCGTACCTTCAGTTTGAGTCTGAGGCGAGAAGGCTGCGGGACGGAGAGGTCGTCTGTGTCTGAGCCGCTGGAGCCAGAAGACGAAACGCTGATCTGGTCGCAGTGAGACGTTCGCAACCTGCACACAGAACTTCACGTCAGGTTTTTTTTTATTTTTATGACAGGCAATGAACTCCTATATCTCGGTTATTCCAAACCAGTTTTGACGACTGGGCTTTAAAACTTACTGGGCGAGCTTCTTGGCGAGGAGACGATTGCTCCACAGGCTGGGCGAGCTGGGGCAGGGATCGACGGGAGGCTCCAGCTCACGAGACAGCTCGTAGCTACAGGAGACAGAACAAAATGAGACAAGGCCGTCTCACATGGAGCTTCCTCTTGAGCAGTTCTGGTGTGTTTCATACGGCCCGGTTCGGTTTACCTCTCCTGGTCTGTGAGCAGAGTGGGAGCCTGCAGCCAGGCGGTGACCTGAGAGCTGACTGGAAGGTTGTAGTGGCAACAGAAAGCCTGGAGCTGTCGAATCTGGGAGAGAATCTCATACTCCTGCAACAAAAAAACAATTAAAAAATTAAAAAACAAATTAATCCATTAAAAAGGGGGAGAAATGCAGCAAATCGAGTACATTTGATGCAATTTAAAAACAGTAATGCAGGTAAAGCACCACTAGATGGCAGCACCTACCCGTCTGCGTTTCTCAAAGTTGATAAATCCACCCTGAAAAACATAAAAAAAAAAAAATCTAATTAATACAGAAAAGCAGGATGTTTTAAAGCCATAAATCAGATCAATAACGGACCTCCACAGAGTCCGTCAGCGCCGTGTCCAGCATGGTGAGGACCGTCAGATACGTGCCCAGGTAAGGAACGACGCCGCTGCCGAAGTTCTGAGGAGAAAAATAAAACCCCCGTTAGTTTTATTAACGACACACCGTCTGCACACAAATATGGAGAAGAAGTTTGGATACAAATCTCTTATTGTTAGATTTTTTTATTTTTTAAATAATAAAATTTGATTCACCAATTTGTGTACATAAAAATGTATATATGTACACATATTGTTAGATTTTCAACACCAAGTTCAGATTTCATCATAAAGAAAAAACTTTTAAAATCCTTACGAAATGATAAAATTACCATTTAATTTTATTTAAACTATTTATTAACATGATTTGTTATATTTCATTGTTAATATTCAAGTTTAAAGCTAAGATTTTAATTTATTCAAAGGCACCGAGATCATTTTAAAATTTTTATTTTAAATATAGTGTCAGCTGAAAGTCGTAGTCAACAGGTTGCTTTGTAATTTTTATTAATAATTCCCTGCACAGAACGTTTCTTCTCTGCTGTTCTGCTCCGTTTAAAGTTTACAGACATTTTAATAATTACAAAATTGAACAAGTCTTATATTAACTTTGTCTAAGTTAAGAGTTAAACTAGAAACACAGTAAAACTGGTTTATATTTAATTTATTTCTCCTCATTTTACTCCGATTACGTCTCACTTTGAAGAAAAAAAATTAACTTTCACTTTTCCCCTCCTTTTATTTAGCAACATGATTTTTCCTCATTTTCAGACTTGAGAAACCACGTTTTAACAATTTTTAATATTTCATATCTACCTCTGGTGTTTCCTCATTGAGGAAATCATTTTCGCAGTTCCTTCAGTCGTTAAAATTAACATTTTTATTTCCTTCTACAACTTCTTGCCCTTTTTAATTATTCTGAATGCATTTTGTCGGCTCCGTTCTCTGTTGCTTTCATCTGATGCAACACACTGAGTTACACTTTCTGTATGAAAGATGTTTTAAAGTCTGACTGAATAACCAGTCACTAGCTGGTTACTGGCCTCTGTAGCGACTGCTGAATTTCTTTCAGGACTATGTTTTGGTATTGGTGCAACTTTAGCTTTTTGAAATATTTAGCCTTTTCTGCCATTTTTTTTCCTCATAAAACATGAATTAAGCTCATTTTACATCCTTCAAATCTTTAGATGTTTACAATCTTTTACTGCTGTTCCTTTCACATTTTGTTCTGGTTCAGCTTCTTTCAGCTTCCTTCTGCAAATTTAACCTTTTTTCGGCTCATTTCAGCTGGTTTTTCAGCTGTTTTGTGCTCCTTTCAGATCCTTTCTGCTAACTACAAAATTTTTGTGCTTCTTCTAATGTCTTTCTGCTAATTTCAGCTTTGTTTAGCTTATTTCTGCACGTTTCAGCTTTTTCTATTTCAACTATTTTAAGCTAATTCTAGCCAATTCCACAATTTTTGCATTCATTTCCACTTTTTTCAGCCTAATTCAGCAAAAATGTGCTCTTTCCACTTCCTTCTGCTAACTTAAGCTTCTTTTTGCAATTTTAGCTACTTTTCAACTGTTTTTTTGTTGCTAATTTCAGCTTTTTCAGATCATTTCCACTTTTTTGTGCTCATTTCTGCTTCTTTCGGCCTATTTCAGCATTTTGTTTAGCTATCGTAATTTGAGCTGTTTTCAGATGAATTCAAGTTTTTAGTTGTAATTTCTGCTACTTTCAGCCTAACTAACGTCTTTCTGCTAATTTCAGCTTTTTACGCTTGTTTCAGCTTTTCTGTTAGTTTCAGCTTTTCTGCTACTTTAGCTACTATTTAGCTGTTTTATGCTAATTTTAACATTTTCAGCTAATTCCACATTTTTCAGCTCATTTCAGCTCTTTCTGCTTCTTTCTGGTAATTTAAGCTTCTTTCTGTCTTTTCAGCAATTTTTGTTGTCATTGTTGCTAAATTCAGCCTTTTTTTTTTCCCAAATTTACTAATTTTTGTGCTCATTTCTGCTTTTTTTTATCCCAATTCAGAAAATATGTTTTCTTTCTGATTTCTTCTGCTAATGTATGCTTAGTGTTCTATTTCAGCTACATTTCAGCATGTTTTTTTAGCGAATTGTAGCTATTTTTTAGCAAGTTCTTCTGCTATAAGCATTCCCACTGCATTTTCGCAGGAAATACAATCCATCTAGTTTGAAATAAATTAGACTTTAGGAGTGAAATGTTCAGTGGTTTTTAACAACAAGTGATCGCTCCATGCATAAACGACTAATAATCGAAACGTAAACATAGAGGGGTATAAATCAGTTTGAACACCACCCAAAATAAACTCTGCATGGGTTTGAGTTTTAAAAGTAAGAAGAAAACTATCCTGTGTGCCACAAACATTTCTCGTTAAGCGCTTAGACTGAAAAGATTAAAACAGGGAACTTGGCAAACCTAAAGGAAGCTGAGCTGATGTGACAAACGCATCACTTTCTACCAGCTGGCACATTTGGTTTATTTTCGAGGCTGAATGAAGGAAGTGAAAGGTTGTTTCCAAACGAAGAGCTGAGCTTGCTCTCACCGTGTGTCTGGGCTCTGAGCAGAGTCGAGGGGACTTGGAGCCCGGCGTGGCGCTGCTCTCTGGGTGACTCCCATCCTGCAGAGAGAGGACGACAGTCGTGTCAACACCCGTGAATCAAAATCAGGTGTTAAAGTGAGGCGTCAACAAGCAGAGGAGTTATATAATCGCTGCTTTGCTTTCTTTTCTTTTTTTAGCCACTCCAGGGCTGAGAGTGCAGCGAGGAGGAAAACAACGTGACCAGCGCAGCAGACAAACTCGCTTTTCAATCGTGACTTTTGTGGCTGCCAACAATGAGCTCCTATCTGGTTTTCAGGAACTGGACTGCTTCACTTAATGGGAGTCTAGACCAGCTGCTGCTCACATACGACCAACAACACAAACGTCTAGAACACCAGAGGTTTTCTTACACCAGTTCTGTTTGCATAAAAAAAAAAAAAAAACACTAATCTGCTTTTCATTCAGGCAAACAGCAATCTGTGGTGAAATCCCACGTTCATTACAGTCGAGCATCAATAGTTTGGTTATAACCTGCAGCCGAAGGTGATAAATGTTGTGGCTGCGTCCGTCTTGAGCGTCCTCTCAAAATGAAGCCGTCACAACAAAAAAAAAATTAAAAAAAATGGCTGCAGCTCAGCTATTTTTACAGACACTGGACCAAAACTTGGTGTGGCGTTAGCTTCGACCGCGTCTCTCATCAGAAAGTGTGGGAATATTTACTGGGCCTTTAATTAACTCTCTCTGCACCAAGAAAACATGTGAAACTCCCGAAGTCAGTCTGGTTCCACCAAATTCATCCACAGCACTGGTTCTGCTGGTTAGAACGGAGGAGGCTTCTCTTGTGTTGCTCTTCACGAACCAGTGAGGCGGCTGGCTGCTATTCTGGAAACTGGCTTTTCCAGTAGTCTCTTCGCAATAAAACCAACATCTTTTCACACTGTTACGACTACCTGCTCAAGGGGAAATCCTAAGATTGTCTCAATAAGAGATACTCATAAGCAGCACCATCATTTCCTACTAACTAGATAAAATAGTGCAATACGGTATTTTTCGGGGTACAAGGCGCACTTAAAATCCTTTAATTTTCTCAAAAATCAACAGTGAGCTTTATGTAATAATTCTGGTTGCGATTACAGACCTGGAACCGATTTTATGTACCATGATGCTGATAGACACTGTACCATCTTATCAGAACTTTGGAACTTTCTGGAGTGTTTATGGACAACTCACCGCCTTTGTTGACCTCTATGCATGAATGTATCATGATGTCATTGTATGTTGCTGCTTTATTTTGCAAATTATTTTTTTGGTGCATCTTTTATACCATTTTCCAGCCAGGACATGGTGAGACATGATTTTTTTTTTTTTGGCTTCCTCCACCCTCGTGCTCTCTTTTTCTCATCTGCCTGCATGTTGTATGTAACAGGTCTCTCTTGTAAATGAGTCTTCGAGGCTCAGTGGAAACTAACCTGTATAAATAAAAGTCCAATAATAATAATGCTGGTACACGGCGCTCAAAAATCTGCAAAAACGAACTTGTCTAATGCGCCTTATAGACTGAAAAATACGGTACTTAAAAAAATTCTACCCATTTTGGCTAAAATCCCAACCAACCAAACAGATGGAATGTAACAAAGCAAATAAAAAACGTTTTTATCTACAAATGAGAGGCTCATATTGAGAGTTCGAGAACATTTAAAGTCTTATTCTGGGAGGTAAAGATGTTTCTGGGGAAACTAAAACCGCTGCGTGACGAGTAGAAAAAACAAAAATACACAGGAGTTAAGTTACAGAGTTGTGACAGAAGGTGTAGCAGTGACGCGTTCAGGGACACTTTGTACAGCTTTCAAAGGGCTTTGCGGTCACTGTGAGGACAGTCTGCTCTGTCGTTGTCAAACACAAGCAGTTTTACTTAAACCTGCGCCATCACACTGCAGCTGTTATTAATCCTCTTCAGTACAGGGATCTTTGCACTCGTTTTCATTTTAGACAAATATAAAAAGTAGGCCCCGAGCTGAAACCTGTAGGAGCTGGATCTTATGACGACTAAAACTGAATGATAGGTGCAACGTGTCGGTTTTGTTGCTGTCCTGCGTGTTTATGGGGGCAGAGAACGGTAGTTACCTCCACTAGGATCTCTCTGCTGCTCAGCACACAGTTCTCATCAGGAAACGTCTCACACAGGTGGTCGAAGATGCTCGTGCTCTCTCTGAAACCAAACACAAATCAGTTTATCGTGAATGTTTATCAAGCATTCACTCCATTGCGATGCATTTTTCTTGCAGACGTTTTTCAGCATCTTTCTCGTTCCACATTTTTGTGCTACTTCAACAAATCATAAATCAAAACGTTCAGCTCGTTCAGGACAATCCTGCTATGACTTTTGGTATTGGTGCAACTTTAGCTTTTTGAAATATTTAGCCATTTCTGCCATTTTCTCCCTCGTAAAACATGAATTGAGCTCATTTTACATCCTTCAAATCTTTTGATCTGTTTACAACCTTTTACAGCTTCTTTCCCATTTTGTTCTGCTTGAGCTTCTTTGTGCAAATTTAAACTTTTTTCAGCTACTTTCAGCTTTTTCTTCAGCCGTTTTGTGCTCCTTTTATATTCTTTCTGCTAACTACACATTTTTGTGCTTCTTCTAACTTCTATCTGCTAATTTCAGCTCGTTATGCTCTGTTCAGCTTATTTATGCAAGTTTCAGCTTTTACTGCTATTTCAGCTACTGTATTTTTGCCTTTTTTTTTTTTGCTAATTCCACATTTTTTGCACTCATTTCAACTTTTACAGGTTAATTCAGCAAAAATTGCTCTCTCCACTTCCTTCTGGTAATTTTAGCTTCTTTCAGTGTTTTTAGCTACTACTCAGCTGTTTTTTTTAACATACTTCTGCTTTTTTCAGATAATTTCCACTTTTTGGTGCTAATTTCTGCTTCTTTCAGCTTAATTGGACTCTGTTGTGCTCTCTCCACTTTCTTCTGGTAATTTAAGCATCTTCCTGCCTTTTCAGCTACTTTTTTTTCCTGATTTCAGCTATTTTTTTAGCTAACTTACTCATTTTTTGTGCTCTTTTCTGCTTATTTAAACCACATTCAGAAAATATGTGTTCTTTGCTTTCTTCTGCTAACTTAGGCTTGTTTTTCCATTTCAGCTACATTTCAGCATGGTTTTAGCTAATTTCAGCTGTTTTTCAGCAAGTTCTTCAGCAATAAGCATTCACATTGCATTTTCACTGGAAATGAAATTTCTCTAGTTTACCTAAACGTCAAGTTTTATTTTAACTCGATTTGAAAGGATAAAATAACCCTGAAGTGCTCTGAAGATGTTTGCCAACCTGCTCACGGCCGCCCAGGTCCTCTTGAGGCGATACACGGCGTTCGACTGCAGCGCCGACAGGATCGCCCGTAGAGAGGAGAAGTTCTTCAGCTGCCTGCACTCCTGTGGAGACGCACACAGCTGTCACCCGCTTCCTGCTGACAGTCAAACGTGTTCTACTTCCTACGATGCTGACCTGTGCGATGGCGATCCACCTCTCGATGACGCGCGCTCTGTGAGCCGGGCTGGCGAGCGAGAAGCGAGGCGAGCCCGGAGCGGACGAGGGGAACAGGAAGGTGGAGGCCGAGGAGGGTGATGAGATGGGGGAGGAAGTGGAAGGGCTGGGGGGAGAGGAGCAGAGCAGGGAGGTGATGACGCGGTTGGTGACCGCGTTAAACTGGGAAATGGTGGCTCGGACCGTCGGGGCCAGCTTTCGGTTTTCTTTCTTGTCACGCTGAGACCAGACGCAGCCCAGGCACTGGAAGGGCACCACTTTCACAAACAGCTCCTAAAGAAGAAGAAGAAGGAAAGATAAGGTTTTAGGAGGTGAAGCCATCATTTATGCGTCACTGAACTGGAAGAATCTTGTAAACCTACAGCGTCCAGCCTGGTCAGCTGCTCCGCCACCTCTCTCGCAGAAAAGTGCATGAAGTCGTAAATGTCGCGTTTCGTGGAGGTTTCTCCTCCGTCCCCCTGATCACCGTCCTGTAACGATTCACGTCCTGACGCCGACAGGCTGCGATCTGTCAAATCAAGACATGTTGCTCAGCTCACATCTAAAACTAATTCCAGGAACCAACATCATTAGGAGTCAACCACATTCAAGATGGCCGCTGGAGCTAAGTGACTTTAGCCTTTAAGTTTTATTTTGGTTCTGAGCGTACCTTGTTCCTGGAGCCTCTTGAGCAAGGCTTCGGCAGTCTGAGCCAAGCGTCTGAAGCAGAGGCGGCGGCGCAGCTGGGCGCACAGGAGCCGGAGGGTCGGGTACTGGGGGGGCTCCTGGAAGTCCTCGCTGTACTCCTCCAGCCACAGGCGGACCACTGGGAGCAGGGGGCTGAGGAGGAGACGAACAGGCGGAGCGGTTAACGCTGGCCGAACAGGCGGAACGGAGAAACGCTCCAGCCAAGCTGGACGAAACTCACCTGCGAGAGCCGACGACGTTGTCCAGGTTGGTGAGAGATTCATCTCTGTGGAGGAAACGGGAAACACGTCAGCTCAACCGCAACTCAAAACATCGTCGTCACATCAAAGAGGAACAACGAGGATTCTGAGCAGTGACAGAAAGCATCCTGCAAACAGAAATCCTGGGGAAGTGTCCTGCAACACTCCGAGTCCCCACAGAGACCTCGTGGCCTCGGTGCCGGGAGTAAACACCGACACGCCTTCCTCTGGGACTAATGATTACCTCGGAAAAGGTAAACGCAGTAAAACTCCAGCACGGCACCGCGCTGTCCGGTTTAAAGGAACCTGGCTACAGTTTTACAACAGGATCCGGCTCTTTATTGCTCTGCAGGTGATTTGAGATGATTGCCACGAATAAATCCTGACGAGTTACACCGAATAAAACTGCTACAGTTGTTTAACTTTGTGACGGCAATGAAAAAATGAAACATCCGGTAGGACAAAAAAAAAGTTTTTAAATAACTAGAGAAGTTGTATTTCCTGCCAAAAATGCAGAGTGAATGCTTATTGCTGAAGAAGTTGCTGAAAAACAGCTGAAATTAGCTAAAAACATGCAGCTGAAATGGAAGAAAGAGCCTAAGTTAGCAGAAGAAAGCAGAAAGAACACATATTTGCTGTGTTAGGTTTTAATAAGTATAAAAGAGCACAAAAATTAGGAGATTAGCTAAAAAAACTGAAATTAGCAAAATAATAGTTGAGAAGTAGCTGAAAAGGTAGAAAGAAGCTTAAACTACCAGAAGGAAGTGGAAGGAGCTGAAATGAGAGAAAAAAAGTGAAATAGTTGAAAAAGCTAATGTTAGCACAAAAACAGCTAAAAAGTAGCTGAAATAGCAGAAAAAGATGAAACTAGCAGAAATACGCTGAAATGAGCAGAAAGAAGTTAATTAGACTGAAAGTAGCATACTGGTAAATCCCCATGAAAAACATGACATTTGCTGAAAACAGCTGAAATTACCTAAAAAAGGTAGCTGAGAAGGTAGGACAAGCTTAAATTAACAGAAGAAAGCAGAAAGAACATGTTTACCCAATTAGGTTGAAAGAATAAAAAATGAGCACAAAAATGTCAAAATTAGCTGAAAAAAGCTGAAATTAGAATTAGTAAACAGCTGAAAAGTAGCTAAAAAGCAGAAAGAAGCTGAAATTACAATAATGAGAGAGCATATTTTTGCTGAATTAGGCTGAAAAAAGTCGAAATGAGTGAAAAAAAAAAATCGGAATTTGTTGAAAAAGCTTAAATTAACATAAAACAGCTCAATAATAGCTGAAATGGTAGAAAAAGTTGAAACTTGCAGAAATAAGCTGAAATTAGAGAAAGAAGTTAGTAAAAGCACAAAAATGTTATGGTTGGCAGAAATAATCTGAAAGGAGCACAAAATAGCTGATATTAGCTGAAAGTAGCTGAAAAAAAGTTTAAATTTGCACAAGGAAGCTGAAAGAAGCTGAAGCAGAACAGCAAACAGATCTAAAGAGTTGAAGGATGTAAAATGAGCTCAAATCATTTTATATGAGAATAAAAATGGCAGGAAAGGCTAAATATTTCAAAAAGCTAAAGTTGCACCAATACCAAAAGTCAAAGCAGGATTGTCTTGAACGAGCTGAACGTTTTGATTTATGATTTGTTGAAATAGCACAAAAACTGCGCGACGAGAAACATGCTGAAAAACGTACAGAAGACAAATGGATCAGAACAGTGTGAATGCTTCATAAACATTCACACAATCATTTCAAAGGAAGGATTCACAGTTTGAAGCTCACGGGAAACCTGCTGCTAACAGCACGGCACGTTTGAGGGCAACAGTTGGACAAAGAACATGTGGGATCAGTTCCACACAGATAGGTCAGATAAAGTTATCATTTCTAGGTAAAAAATCATGTCCTTTATGAAGCTTGAAAGGATCAAAAGGGACCCCCTGAATGAAATGAGATCAGATACGTGCAGAAGCAGAGGTGCAGGGCGTGGTTAGCCTTTGCAGAAGGAACAAAGCTTTTCAGACGGCTTCGTTTAGCTCGTGACGATGAAAACCTGCCGGGCGTCCAGAGGTTTGTTCTGTGAATAACTGATGTGACGTAGGAGCGGCGCTGAAACCCCGCCTCAGCTAAAGGTCGATTTGTGCCAGCTGGCGTGTCGTAAAAGCTGCTGACGCATTAACAGCACGGTCTGGATCAAAAAGTCGGACATGATGGCAAAAAATGTTCAAGAAGCAAATATTGGAGTCAGTTTTTTGATAAGAAGAAATATTGGGCTGTAATTTAGCAGCTTTGCATTGAAGGAGTGTATATCGCCCGTCGCCTTTCATGCCAGAGTTTTAGACCATCTCAAGCTGCGAAACGATGAGTTCAAGGCCGTTCTGGTCCAATCTTTAAATTGTTATCTCCTGCGATAAGAGTACGACGTTCAGAGCGAGGGTTGTGAAAGAATAACCAACCACATTAACCTTTAGCTCAATATTTCAAAAACGGACAGATTTATAGCCCCTTGTGGGCTGGCTAATGTTGACTAGCTGTGGCGGCCATCTTGAAAGTTAATCAGATGCAGATGTAGGTCCAAAGATTACTTTTCAAAGAATTTCATTCAAGTTCGTCCAGTTGTTCTTGGGAGATCGTGGCAACACCTGAATATTTAGCCCAACTATGTCATTTACAAAATGTAAATATTTGAATCTGTACATATTTACGGAACAAAATGTAACATTTTCTATTATCTAGAATTGATTAAGTCGAGCTGGAGTGAAAATGTGAAATTAAAGGAAACTAAAACCTGCGAACTGGAGCCATGGCAAACGGTAAGTCTCGTGTCTGTCTCCGTGTGACTGGATGTTTTGTGTTAAACAGACGAGTGCAAATCGAGCGGTACCGACGGGCTCATGTGGGCCGAAGGGCCAGCAGACTGCGCCCTCGTTGTTTCTGTTAGCACGCGCCTCAGTTCAGCTAAAGTTCGGCTTCTCTCACCTCTTAAACAGGAGCTCGACGAAGGCGCTGCTGGAGGTGAAGGCCCGGTACGTGGACAGGAACACGTGGATGAAGTCGGGCTCCCGGCGGTCGGGATCGAGTAGGTGGGCGATCAGACGCTCCGGGGTGGCGGCTTTCAGCCTGCGCACCTTCACCGTGTGGTACTGCACGCAGCCGTGGGCCGGCGAGAGATCCAACGAGAGATCCGACGACTCGGAGTTCTGCAGGACGGGTTCCCTGCGCAGGGTGACCCCGAACACGGCCCCGTCCTCCTCCTCCTCGCCCCACTCCTGCACCGGATCCTGCAGGGTGAGAAGGCAGAGTCGTTGGCATGATGGAAACATCGTTCTCCTTCGCAGAAACCAAACCATTCACCGAACTTCACAAAGAAAAAAAAAAAAACTTTTACCGCTAAAACAATAAATGCTGTGCAGAGTGATGAAGCGGAGTTTGTTAGGCTGAAATAAGCAGAAAACTAGCTTAAAGCTACAAAAAACTTCTAGATAAAATCAAAAAGCAGCAAAAGGCTAGCTAAACCAAGCAAGGGGTTAACTAAAAGCAATTATAAGTTAAAAAAAAAAAAAAAAAAAAATGGATTCTGGGCCTCTCCGCTCTTCCTCCAGACTCTGAGACCTTAATTTCTAAATGACATGAAATATTTACTTTCATCAGAAAAGAGGACATTGGACCACTGAACAACAGTCCAGTTCTTTGTCTCCTCAGCAGGTAAGACACTTCTGATGTTGTCACTGGTTCAGGAGTGGCTGGACTTGAGGAATGAGACATTTTGTAGCTCATGTCTAAGAGTTAATCAGCTGATTAGGGTGCGACACGGGAGAGGCTCGACATATTTTACTAATGAATTTTTGTAATACAGCGGTGCTTGAAAGTTTGTGAACGCTTTAGGATTTCCCATATTTATTCATGAATATGACCTAAAACATCATCAGATTTTCACACAAGTCCTAAAAGTTGATAAAGAGAACCCAGTTAAACAAACGAGACATAAATATTACACTTGGTCATTTATGTATTGAGGAAGATGATCCAATATTACATATTTGTGATTGGCAAAAGTATGTGAACCTTTGCTTTCAGTACCTGGTGTGACCCCCACCCCCCACTATGGAGCAATTACTACAAATAAACGTTTCCAGTAACTGTTGATCAGTCCTGCACACCGGCTTGGAGGAACTTTAGTCCATTCCTCCGTACAGAACAGCTTCAACTCTGGATGTTGGTGGGTTTCCTCACACTAACTGCAGCTTCAGGTCCTTCCACAACATCTGGATTGGATTAAGGTCAGGACTTTGACTTGATCGTTCCAAAACATGAACTTTATTCTTCTTGAACCATTCTTTGGCACAATGACTTGTGCGTTTAGAGTCATTGTCGCTGCATGACCCACCTTCTCTTGAGATTTATAGACGGATGTCCTGACATTTTCCTTTAGAATTCTCTGATTCAGAATATAATTATAATAATATAATTCAGAATTCATTGTTCCATCAATGACGACAAGTCGTCCTGGCCCAGATGCAGTAAAACAGGCCCAAACCATGACACTATCACCACCATGTTTCACAGATGGGATAAGGTTCTTATGCAGGAATGCAGAGTTGTCCATCATGGTCTGATCCGTCCACAAAACATTCTTCCAACAGTCTTCTGGCTTGTCCACGTGATCTTTATCAAACTGCAGACGAGCAGCCATGTTCTCTTTGGAGCGCAGTGGATAGCATTAGCCAATGTGAGAGAGGCCTTCAGTTGTTTAGAAGTTACCCTGGGGTCCTTCGTGACCTCGCCCACTGTTCCACGCCTTGCTCTTGGAGTGATCTTTGTTGGTCCACCACTCAGGGTAACAATGGTTTTGAATTTCCTCCATTTCTACACAACCTGTGTGGTGAAACTTTAAACAAATGAAGTGTAAAATGTTTTGAAAAGCATAAAAGTTTTTTTAAAAGAACAAAGCCACCTCATCAGCTCCTGCACGAGCTGAACGTTTTTACGTATGAGTGGCTGAAATACGCAGACGCAATTACACTGAAAAAAAAACTACACAAAAAAAAAAAAAAACAGAAAACAGGAAAACGGCGTAAATGCTGAAGCAGCGTTCAAATCTGCAGGAAAACAGCTGCGGCTGGAATCGGTGCATGTGAAGATGGGTGAAACTGAGCGTGCACGGCTTTCATGCCTCACATTCCAGTGAAACGTTCAAAATAGAAACCTGAAGACCGGTTCTGTGACCGAGTTAAGAAGCATTCACTGATGCAGAGGTTCACACTGTTCAATACAATCTGACAAAGATGCTTTCCATTACGCCGTGAGCTGCAGCTGTTTATTGTTCTTTACTCAACGCCTTTAGGAGCAGAGAAGAAGAAATGAGTCACAGATGTTTGTCCCCTTCAGTGGGTCCAACACCGTTCAGCTATTTGAGCTGCAAAATGAAAACTGGCTCATTATAGAGAATTACTAATGAACATTTGAACAAAAAGAAACAGCAATCTTCATTTTTTTTTTATCCATTTAAGAGCCTCCGTATTATCTCTTTGAAACTGGTAAAGCCAAATATCCTACTGGTAATCATTTTTAAAGCTAGTTTGATTTTTGTTAATTTTTTTTAAAGTCCATATCAGGTTTTGTGGACACAGACATGGAAAAACCTTCCAGCATTACAATAAATCACTAATATATTTGCTCATAATCAGCAGGTTTTTGGGGTTTTTTTACTCCCCAAATTATAGTCTATATACAAACTTTTGGCTAAAATAGAGTAAAATACATTCAAGTTTTCTAATACAATAAACTTGAGTTAACAAATTGATAAAATTGTGTTTTATTTTAAACGCCAAACATAAAAGTATGAATCAGTAGTTGGCCGATTTGACAGTCACGCCACATTCTTTATAAAAAGCTTTAAATTCAAAACAAATAATAATATACTAAAGCACGTCAATACTCTGAGGTTCCTAAATGAATCTGTGCAGATAAAGCTACAGGATAGCTCAGCTATATATAATAATAACAAAAATAATAACAATATTAACAACAACAACAATAATATTAATAATAACAATGCAGTGGTTCTTATTACCTGCCGTAGCAAAAAGCAAAACATTTGTCTGTGTTTTTGGCAAAATAACTCATGAGCCACTAAACAAATTTTAGTGAAACTTCCAAAACGTTATAATTGGATGAAAATATAAAACTATCATTTGTAGTCATCCAAAATCAAGATGGCCACCACTGCTAACCCCTAATTTACACATACTGAGCCAGTATTTGGTGTGGTAGTAGCTGAGCATCACCCCCCACACATAGCTCCCTATTTTAGTAGCCAACTGCTGGCACTGGCTCTGTTAGCAAAATATCTCATGAACCGCTTCTACAGATCTTTCACAGTCAGCTGACCACAGGAAACAAACAAACAAACAAACAAACAAACAAACAAACGGCGACAGCTCAGTCAGTTTGACAGAAATAGCTTATTTTGGAGTGGTAGTAGCGGAGAGTCGTCCCTAAAACATGCTCCGAGCGCTGCCACATCTAAAGCAGCAACAAAGTCGATTAGAGAATAAAACCCTGGCTTGAAAAGCGATACGCTTTCTTTAAAGACACTTTAATTTATAGTTTATAAGCGTTTGAATGTTTTAGCAGAGCCACATGAGGCCAACTACTGATGGAGTCAACAACAAACAAAAATGAATTAATGGGCAACATTTAGTAATAAATCTGGGTCTTGTTGATAAAATTAAACTGATCATAAACTACACCACTAATCACAGCCTTAAATGAGGTTTAGTGTCTGCATTGCTGGGAAAACTCGTTGCTGAGGCAGAAAACAGCTGAAGTCACAAGACAGAAGTCAGGGAGCAGAGCAGCTCCATGACAGCATTCATAAGTTACTCACCATCGACAACTGCCATTTCCCCATCTTCCTCCTGCTTTTACACTACGTCTTCATATTTAAGATTATCGTGGCAAAGTTACACACATGCAGATGTTCGGAAATGTAGTCGCTGTATTGTAAACCTAAAACTAGTATTTTGTCGAAAACAAATAAAGATATCCCGCGTTGTTCTTGGGATGGTGACTGTGTACTGGGACTGTAGCCGAGAGAGGGAATCTTTAAATAGTGGGCGAGCCGGTGGGCGGAGTCATCATGCATGTTTGTGGGCGGGAACACGTACTGTTGACCAATGGGGTTACAGAGGTGTAAAGCACAACAGATGTGAACTCGAAGTCAAGGCAACTTTATTTATAGAGCACATTTAAAACAGAACCTGTTATCATAAAGTGCTTAACAACAACAATCAATGGGAGTAAAATTAAAGAGAGAAAAAAAATACAATACACTAATAATAATAACTGAAGAATTAATAAAAAGCATTTAAAACATAGGATCACAGAACAAAAAAACACTAAATCAATTTACACTGTGTGAAATGCCTGCGAGAACAGATGTGTTTTTAGCAGGGATTTGAAGTGAGGAAGGGAGGTGGCCTGCCTGATGTTGGGGGGCAGGTTGTTCCAGAGTTTGGGGCCCATAACTGAAAAAGCCCGATCCCCTCTGAGCTCCAGTCTTGTTTTTGGAACAGCCAAAAGCAGCTGATTGGATGATCTCAGGGCCCGAGAGGGAACGTAAGATTCCAGTAGCTCAGAGAGGTAAAGGGGTGTGAGGCCATTTAAGCATTTGAAGGTCAACAGAAGAATTTTAAAGACTATCCTCGTACGAACAGGGAGCCAGTGAAGGGAGGACAGAACAGGTGTAATATGTTCAGACCTACGAGTTCCGGTTAAAAGCCGAGCAGCAGCATTCTGGACGAGCTGAAGACGTGAGATGGAGGCCTTGCAATAGTCCAATCGGGTCGTGACAAAGACATGGACTAGTTTCTCAAGGTCGTGTCTGGACAATACTGGCTTGAGCTTAGCTACCTGTCTTGGAAGAAGCTTTTCTGCTGAACAGAGTTGATTTGTTTGTCAAACTTGAAGTCAGAGTCTAAAACCATCCCAAGATTTTTACCAGGCTGCTTCAGATATGGCTGAAGAGAGTCCAGGTTGACATGATCAGTGGCGGCAGTTTAGCTAGGGCTAAAGACAATGACTTCAGTCTTCTCATCGTTAAAAGTTAAGAAATTTGAAGCCATCCAGGCCTTAATGTCATCCAGACATTTTAACAGAGGGTGAATGGAGCAAACACTTGTTGGTTTCACAGGCAGGTAGATCTGACAGTCATCAGCATAACAATGGAATGAAAGACCATGTTTCCTCAGGATGGACCCCAGTAGGAGCAAATAAAGTGAGAACAGAAGGGGTCCAAGAATCGATCCCTGTGGGACCCCGGAAGAAAGAGGTAATGTGGCGGATACATTATTACCAACCTTGAGACAAAAACTCCTGCCACTCAGGTATGAGCGGAACCATTCTAATGCAGCACCTGTGATCCCAACCCACTGTTCCAGCCGTGATATAAGGATACTGGGGTCAACAGTATCAAAAGCAGCAGTAAGGCTTTAAATAACTAGCTGGTAATTTGTTGTGTTGATACTAAAAACTGTCAGCAGTTGTTATTCAAGCCTTTATAGTAAGTATCAAAATGATAAAAATCTATAAATACTAAAAGTTTTAGCATTCAGAAAGTTTGGGCTATTTAGAAAACTCGCTTTTACCCTAAATTATCAACACAAAGTCCCTGTTTGTATCTGTAAGCAAAATATTTCATTAACCACTGGATGAATTTGAATGAATCTTTCAGGAAATAGTCATTGGATGTATTTTTATAAGGGTTTGACTTTTGGAGCCAAGTTGATTTAAGATGGTCGCTACAGTCAACTCAACTTTGAAAACACAAAATTGACAATAACTCAGCAAATTTAAAAAAACATTCAGCTCAAATTTAGCTCGGTAGTAGCTGAGAGTCATTCACAACACATACTCTAAGTGCTACTTCTTGCACAAGAACATTGCTTATAACACCAGCATAATTGTTGGCGTCAACCTTGTTTGTCTGTTAGCAAAATATCTCATGAACCCCTGGATGGATTTTAATGAAACTTTCGGGAAATGCTCGATGAGTCTGCAGCTACAAGTGACTAACTCTTTGAGATGCCTCAATTCAAAATGGCTGCAACAACTGATCAGCCTTAGCCAAAACAAAAAATGGCTGTACGTCAACGTCAGTTTTACAGATATTAAGCTAAAATTTCATGTGGTAGCAGCTGAGATTCACTCTAAATGCATAACTACAGTCCAATCAAATATACAACTTATTCTGCTTAAAATATTGTGTTAAATCTTACAGTCAACACTGTTAGCAAACTACCTCCTGCACCACTGGACAAATATTGATTCAACTTTTTAAAAGGAATCAGAGGATGTGCTTTTCGCAAATCATTAATATCGGTGCAGATGTTTAATGTTTCTAAAACGAGTAACCAAGTGACGGGTTGGAAGTTAAACACTAAATAAAACAGGAAAGTGGTTGTTAAATGATCAAAAATGGAATTTTTGATGAACATAGTGACGTTGCAACTCACTGTAACTCAAAGTGTCTCATTCTCTACTTCCACATTTTGTCACGCCCTAAAAAAAAAACACAATTAAAAAAGTTTCTTCTCACATTTCTGCTTTTCACTGAAAACAACAGTGTTATATGACACTTTGTCCTCACACTGGAAATGGGAAGTTTGATGCTTTATGAGAGTAAAAACATATTAAACAGCCTTTCTTTGACGCATTTATATTTGTGTGTGGTTGTAAACAGTATAAATCTCAAAGCGCTACTGTGTACGGCTGTATTTCATCATTAGTTACCAGATTTACAACAGAAAAACTCTATAATTAAACTGGAGAACTGGGCAATAATCTGACATCTGGTGGGCAAGCAACAACAACAGCAACAAAAACTGAAAATTCAAGAAGAAATGTTGAAGCTACTGTCCAGAAATCAAACTTTACTTTGTAACAATTTATGGACGGACGTCTGTTGATTTTAAATTATTTGTTTGACTGAAAACAGGATGTATACATTTTAACTTCCGTCATATTTCTGAAAACAATCCTCTTTATTTCAATAGAATATTGTACAATTATCAAGGAAAAACTGATCATTTGAAGGTAAAACCAGAAATTAGTCCAACAACAAGCAAAGATCAATTATTTATATATTATTTTTAATAATATTCATTAGTAAAAAGTTTTTTTCACAGCTTCTTATTCTAGCTTCTAGATGAGAAACCATATTGAGCACGTCAGTCCAGGTTTTAATAAAGAGAAAATGTTCACGACTTCAAAAAAAATCGACAACAAGGGGAAATATAATATGACATTCAGCAACGCAGTGAAATCTCAGTTCAAACTCACAACAAAGCAAATTACTGACAGGTCTGAGCAGAAAACACGTTATTAGAACAGTCTGTCTGCGGCACATTTGGTCCAAAGGGAAAAAGGAGTTTTTGTTCGTCTAATGAGGTTCTGTCTCCTGAGTTCTCCAAAGCCACACAGTGTTTCCACACAGGCCAAACAAAAGAAACGGCGGCACCAGGGACCTCAATTAGTTGGAATTACACACATGAACGAGTGACGAGTTGTGACGAAAGGAAACGTGACTGTAAAGAAGATGCCACACTGAGTTGGTTTAACCCCTCAAGTTTGTGTTTTACTTGAGGATTTATTTTGGTGCTATCAATAAACACATTGTTCCTGACAAAGCCTAAAAATCCTAAATTTTCCATTTTTATTTTGTCAGGATTGTTTCAAACCTAATCTCTCAGTAAATTTACTGCCCTCTAGTGTTCCGTAGGGGAAACTGACCACATAGAAATCCCTCTATAAATGCATTTTCTGATCTTATACTATACCATATTATAATCGTATCAAACAATGCTTTCCTTTCAGTATTTTTTACTGTCGCATTTTATATTTGCCTATGATGCACCACATGTACGCTTGAGGGACACTATAAAAATCGCAGACAGGGGGTTGGAACTCACTTACTTAAGAGCAGCGTTCGTCCTGGATGGACGTTCCGGTGGAGCCCTGTCTCCCACCTCGTTTGATAAAACTGATTTATCTCAGATGTCAAGAGAAAAAAACAGACTTTGGTTGTGCACGAGTAAAGATTTAGAACAAAACACTGAATGTAATGCATGCAGGTCGAAGAATCAGATGCTCCAGGGTTGAGCACATCTGGCTCCTGCTGGCTTGACTGAAAACATGGCACTGCAGGCAAACGGACCGGACTGCAGCAGCTCGGAGGGTCAACTGGTTTAGTAAAAGTTAAAAACGATGCACAATAACATTTTAGTAAAAAAATGTATATTAAAAAAAAAATCCATGTGCCACTAGCAACTGAGTCGTGAGAGTTGTACCTAAAAAAAGGCCTCACTCTTCGCTACTGGTTCGGATGGTTTTGGTGGGCTGGACAGTATTCCCAAAAATCTAAACTAGTTTTGTATAAAATGTCCAAAAATCCTTTTTGGATGTACTAAAAACTGTCATAAATTAAATACTTTGTTGAAACTGAATTGTGCCATTTTTTTTAACTAAAGGCCTATAAGAAGCTAAAAAGTTTATATATATATATATGATATTTTTATTTCAGGCTTAGATAGTTCTAAAAGATGGAATAGTTTTAGAAAACAAAACTGTTACAAAACAACATATTTAAGCAGTTAAGGAGGATTGTCGATTTCTAGCTAGAAAACAAAGTAACGTGAAACACTTCCTGAAGAATCGACTGCATCACACGTGTCAAACTTGAGGCTCTCGGCTCAGAAACGGCCCTTGTTACAAATATTTCTGGCCCACGAGACAATATTAGGTTATTTTAGAACTGGCATGCCAATCCCTGACATATCAAGTTTCATAAAGTTACCATTCAAATGGGATTTAAATTAAAATCAAACAATAAATTTCTTCTAAATTCTATATAATATCTTGAAATTAGGTCATTTAAATACAATCACTATATGAGTAATTTGACAAATTCTATTATCAAACCAGCTGTTGTCATAAAAAAATACAAAAATAAATCTGTAGTCTGAATTCTGAACCAAAAAAGTATATATATATATA